TTTCTGACTGCCTTATCTTCTTCCACTGGGATGTCATCTTCCTGAGGGCAGGGCCTTCTTATGCCTTATTGTCTGCATAGATCTGGGGCCGATAATGGTATCTGGCACACAGTATATGCTCAGTAAGTATTTCCTGAGTGAGTGGACCACCATGATCAATGTATTTGTTTGTTGTAGTTACGAGGTTTGGTTGGACTTGTTCCTGGTGTCTTACCAAATCTTTGTAATTCAAAGAGTGTATTGGAAACAGGTTGCAAGAAAAAAAGACACAGAAAAATGCTTGCTACGTCATCGGTGCTTAGTCTCTCCCATATCTCTGTGGGTAGAAGGGATGTAGCTTCTGATGGAAAGAACCACGAATCAAGTAAGGATTGAAACTTGATCACAGGATCCCAACTGCAAAGGGTTATTCCAAGCTGTACGCCCCTATCACAGTGCCTGGCACATGGAAGGGACTCAATCAATGTTAACTATTATTACGATTGTTATTACCATTGTCATTTTCACACTGTGCTCATGAGTGATGTTTACCTTTTACAGGCTGTTCCTTTAAGGTAGGGGTAACAACCTTCCGCTGCAAACAGCACAGTAATATGAGAAATGCTCAGCAAAACTGAAAATCAGCTTAGAAGGTAAAAAGAGGAGACCAAGTATGGACCACTTAGGGTACTGTGCAGTTTGGGAACTCTACTCAAGCTATGTCCCCCTGACATGAGTCTACACTTAGAGGGTTGGGAAGTCATGCATAAGCTTTTTTCTACCCATTTTTAAATTGAGGTTATCTTTTCAAAATTTATTTCACATTGCTGTCTTGCTGCCAGAGGTCCATTCTCAGTTACATGTAGTTTCCTTTGCATCCACTACTTAAGGAGGCTAATTGTGTCTTCCAGGTCTCATTCCAGCAGAAGGTATTAACTTGCCACATTTAAGAGCCATAGAGGGCGCAGGTGAAGAGCAGGAACCCACAGCAGACACTGTCCTGCAACCCAGAGAGTGTCTCCGAGCAGACGCAGTGCCTGCAAAGGTTGGCTGGACCCCTGTGCAAATACATAGCTTTTGCACTGTAAAAGGTTCTTCTCTGTACTAACACTACCCTAGCAAACATTAACTGAATTCTTCCTATTCACTAAGGACCATGCTAGGCACCATCTCTGATGTTAGTACATTTATACTGTGGCATCCACTCTATGGTATAGGTGTTGCTAGTCCTATTATGTTGTGGATGAATTCAATTTAAATATATTATGTATTGGAGTCCATGCTGTGTGCCAGACATCATGTGAAACATCTACCCATGTTGGAACTGAAATACAATAATTTAGTGGGAATCTATGAGGACCTGCCATAAATCAGGCATTCTTCTAGGTATGGGGATAAATAGATGCAGATAAATTGCTAGCTTTTAGGAGGCCTTGGTTCAAAAGGAATCACTCAGAGACCTGAGAGGGAGGAAACCAACTGGGAATAAACATAAATAAGACAGTGACTCCATGAACGCGTCAACATATTTTAAAAAGTATGTTTATTACTGCAGCCCTGGCAGGGTGGCTCAGTTGGCTGGAGCATCATCTCATTCACCAGAAGTTTGCAGGTTTGATCCCCAGTCAGGGCACATACCTGGGTTGAGAGTTTGATCCTCGGTTAGGGCACATATGAGAGGCAACTGACTGATATTTCTCTCTCATATCAATGTTTCTCTCTTGTTCTCTCTCTCTCCCTTCCTCTCGCTCTAAAAATCAGTAAACATACTCTAAGGTCTAAGGACTTGAGGGTATGTGAGGATTTAAAATAAAGCATGTGTATAATCCAGATTTGGGTTTATGTTAATTTAAACATGATTCTACCTAAATTATTGTCTTTTTTTTTTTAACACTAACCTAGTTGTGGCTTCTAAAATTCCCCTGGAAAAACTCATGTCTCTAAAGCACCTTGCCCAGTTCCTGGCTCATGATCCAAATGTAATAAATGCCAGGCTTCCCCTCTGTTCTGGATGGAGGTTGTGATGCTGATGTACCAGTGTTCACCCTGTGGAACTCAGGCCCTCTCTGGGCCTCCCCGGGGCCATGGATAGCTTTGGTTGACACACAGGACTTAGAGGGGAGCACAGGAGTGGAACAGTGTCAAAATTGAACCAAAAGCCTCTGAAATCAAAGGATCATGCAATTTTACTTTTGCAGCTTTGCCCTCTACTGAATTCAATCTCTTCCAGGCTGATATTTTCCAAAAACAGCAAACATGCCCCATTTTTAAAGGCAGTGCTTATAGAGTCTTTCCTTAGTAATGACTTTCTCAGATGGGCAAAGCCGTATTCTGTGGGCATGAAAGGTAAAGAAAACCAAACAATGAATGAGACCTGTACCTTGTTCCTCGTACTTTTGAATGTTTTGATTTCCACCTTGGCAGCTAATGGGGAAATCCTATCCTTGGATTAGAGACCATGCTCATAGTGAATTTAAGAAAGTTTACACTGAAGTTCAGGCATATAATATCTTAGCAATTAGTTTTTTTTTTTCTTTTCTTTTTTGGAGACCACAGGAAAAAGGGTTTTCAGGAGTACATTTCACCATGAGCAGTGGAGACAGCATTAGCTCAACCTCTAACTTTTACTCCTTCCTTAAAAAGCTAAATCATAGCGACCAACTCCTGTCACCTGTGAAACAATGACAATCCAGACAACCACAGCATTTCATGTTGGAAGAAAAACTTTATTTTAGTGCAAAAACTGAAACTAATTAAGAATGTTTACAAGTGATTCTCCCATGATTTATTAAGTAAAATGTGTTTTAAGTTGCTGCCACTGTTTTTAAATTCTAGCTAGAGTTCCCCACAGAATAAGAATGCATTTAAGATTCCTCTTCAGAATTCTTCAGGTTTCTATAGACCAGGGTTTCTCAACCTTGGCACTAGTAACATTTGGGGTCAGATTGTTCTTTGTTGTGACAGGCTGTGTTGTGCACTGTAGAATGTTTAGCAGCCTCTCTGGACTCTCTCTGCTAGACGCCAATGGAAACTCTCCTCATCCTACTTTTGACAGTGAAAAATATCTTCAGACAATGTTAAATGCCTTCCAGGCGTCAAAATGACCCCATGTTGAGACCCCACTGAACATTTCATTTAGCATCATTCAAAATCCTCCAATAAAACATCTTCCCCACTCCCTTGAGAGACATAGAATAATAAGACCATTATTTAATTTACTATACAACCTATTAAATGTTAACCAACTACCCGCTATTAAAATTTCATTTATTGTATTTTTTTACAAAGTGTCTTCTAAATAAGTTCTTTATTTACTGCTGTGGGGGAGCATGTTTTAAGCAAGCAGTTGCTGAGTGAAGGAATGGTTAGGCATTGGCACGAACAATTGCTTTAGACTGATGACAGTCATTGTGTGTTCTGGTTAGCGGAAGTGGGTTTATTGAGATTTAACAAGTAGAGCCTACCTCACGCCAGGATGATATTGTGGCTTTGCTCTTGCCTCAGACCCTGCCCCTTGTGTTCACGGATGGCCTGGTAATAGCAACTAATATTGAGGGACCACCCATTCTGTGTCAGGCACTGTGCTGGGACCTTCAGTAGCATCATCTCATGTCATCCTCCCCACAACCCTCGGAGGTAACTGCTACTGACTCCACTTTACAAGGACAGATCAATGTCTCAGAAAGTGACATGACTCACCTTAGGTCATTTAGGCAGTAAGTAGGTGACTTGAAATTCCAATTCAGGTCTGACTCTTATCCATTCGTAATGAGTACACTTCATAGCCACCTTTGCAATACATAGCTGTCTTTCAGTGCTAGTAGATTGAGTCAGTTCTACTGTATCTGTTTACCATATACGCTGAAAATTCCACCAGCATGCTCCTAAAACATGGCAATGAATTGAGTGTTGAGAAAAATGATATGAACATCACGAGTATTTTCTCTCTTGCTTTGTGCAGGAGCAAAATGATCAGCTTGTCACATAATAAGACTTTTGCTGTCATTGGATCAAATGATGACATCTATTCATCACATGAAAAGCAGGACCCCCGAAAAATTCTTTTCCTGTGAATTGAGTCTTAAGGGTTCCATTCTTTGTATCACAGGACTGGAGGGTTTTACGCCTCAGCTTACCAGGGCTGAGCTGTCAGGGCCAGGGCAGTTTGAAGAGTGCTGGGAAGTGGCTGGTGATCTCCTACCTTTAATCACTGGAATTGAAACAGAGAGGTCATGGCTGAAAGAAAAAAGGAAGCAGTGGGTGGATGAGTGAAACAGACTTATGTGGATGGAACCCTCGGAGCCAGAACTGCAGACCAGACCCCTCAGATGGGCTCCTGTGGTTCTGCAGGCTTGAAGGTTATCAATTGACTGAAGTAGGTGTCAGGGTGTGGCCTGGTCTTTATCAGAAGGAGACCTGCAAATGAACCTCCCAGCTTCCTAATCAGGGTCAAGTTAGTATATCATTTATTACCTCTGAGGACAAGCCAGGGTGGGGCTGTCAGGAGTTGTAAAAGAAAATGGGGTGGAGGCGGTGGAAAGTTACTTCCATCCCAACCTGCAAAACATTACTTTTCTTTCATTCCAGTAAATTATAATAAAAATAAAATAAATAAATTGGATCCTTCTAATAGCTGCAGCTGCTGTCCCATTGGGACTGTGTGAGTAGAGAAATATTCCACCCATTTAAATGTGGCCGTCGCTAAGGCAGCCTCCCTTACATGGCCTTGGAGATAGGGACAGAAGCTCCCAATTTTCTCCATCTTCTTAGGAAATGGAGTCGTAACCGTAATGCATCCTTCTGAGCTCCTTTCTCCGTCTCTAACAACCTGAATTTGGCACACTTCCCTTCTCCTTTAACCCACACAAGCTAAAAATAATACCCTCTTGGAAGCAGCCAAAAAATGTCAGTTGGACGAGCTTAATTAGCAGGGCGGGCTGAAGATAGTTCTAGCCTTCCTGATTTGCTGCACTCTCTCCAGGGAACTGGAGCCAAGCACAACTGGAAAATCTAGGTTCGTGTGTGCACCAGACAGGGGGATTTCTAACTTAAAGGGAGAGTCTGCCTGGCAGTCAAGCTGTGTTTCATCCCTGCAATGCCAGGCAGGGGAACTCAGGAGGTAAGGACTGTTCTATCTATGGATAAGGGGCAGAGGATTTTAAAGCCTGGACTGTTGGGCTGAGTTTTCAGGGTTGCATCTTGCCTCCCAACTTACTGGCTCTGTGACCTTGGATAAGTGACATGACCTCTCTATGCCTTGGATTCCTCTTCTGCAAAGTAGGGTTAATCCTAGCCTTCACCTTGTAAGTTGGTGATGCGAATAAGTGAGCTGAGTAGAGAGCACTTAGAACACTGCCTGGCCTAGAGTGAGCACAATATAGAGTGTTTGCTGATACAGTCATCCCTCAGAAGTCTCACTGATACCAGCGCACCGTCCCACAGAAGAAAGGCCAGGCAGTAACCGCTCGCTCCATCGCACACATTTAGAGAGGAAATTATCTATGTACCTAAAACTAGTAAAATAAGCTTGGATTTGAAACTCTAGCTTCAAAATCCTGTCTTCCCCTCCCCCAGACATCATATTGGTCCACGACAAGGACTTTGTTCTATTTTTTGAAAATATATATTTTTAGCAAGTCTAACCTTGATATAAACTGACATCTCCTTGTATATAACTGATTTTTTGAATTTTTTTTTTGTCTGGAGCTAAACAATGAATCTTTGTCCACTTATACATGATAAGCCTTCATGTCTTACTCTCTTTCTTTTCTTCCCCTTAACTTTTCTTTTTCTTCTCCCTACCCCCAAACATGGCAGCTTAAAGCAATACCATTTCTTGTTTCTCTTGAGTATAAGGATGAGCTGGACAGTTCGATTCTGCGGTCCAGGTTCTTTGGACATCAGCTCCTGTGTTTGAGGTCAGCTGGGAGGTGGGCATGGGGCTGGCTGGTCTAGGATGACCTTGACTGGGATGGACAGAGTGACTTGGGTCCTTCTGCCCTCTCATCCTCCATTAGGTGAGCTTTGGCTTGTTCCCATGTGAGTCATAGAGGCCCAAGAGAGAAAGCAGAAGTCCTCAAGACGTTCGGAAGCACAGGTTCAGGGCTGGCACACCATTTCCTCTGATGCATTCTACTGAGTGAAGGAAATCCTGTAGCCAACCTAGATTCAAAGAGTTTGGAAATACAACTCACCCTCTTGAAGGGAGAAGTGGCAAAATCATACTTCAAGGTGCATGGATACAGGGAGGAGAATAATTATATCCAATTTTACAAATAATCTCCTATCTCTTCCTTCCTCTTTCTTAACAATTTATTGTTCCAATAAATTAAAAACACTACTTGGACACTAAGGAAGCAATGCCAGAAAAGAAAATACATGGTCCCTGACCTCTTGTAGTATACATTCTAGTGGGGAAGAAGAATATTCATGAAATTATCCCACAAGTACATATTAATTTACATATGGGCTTGTAGAGAGTGCTCTGTGAGATTAAATAAGGGAACATGACCTCATCTTTAGAGGTGGGGAGGTCAGGGACAATTTCTCTGGAGAAATGATGATTGAAGTGAGACTGGAAAGACTGGGAGGCAACCAGGCAAAGCTGAGGATGAGAAGTTCTGGGCAGAAGAACACGATGAACACCTAGGGTCAAGTTCTAGATGGGAAGGAAGGACAGTGTGGCTAGAATATAGGAAGAAAGGAAGAATTTGATCTCTGATGATGTTGGAGAGATCAGCTGTGGACAGACCTGGTAGGTAATAACAAGAAATCTGCTCACTATGCTAAACACAATGGAATATCACTGATTGGTTTTAAACAGGATGTGTGGGTGAGAAGGGATAGAGCATAATTATCAAACATTATGTCTATAAAGCTAGAGCTGAAAGTGATGGAAAGAAAACAAATCTGAGACTGCCCAGTTGCTGGAGAAGGAAGATATATTTGCCAGCTTATAAAATGTTTTGGAGACCTGGACAATAGTCTGGAGAATTGCCTAGGACAGGAATGTGAATCAGGGACTAAGAACAGCTCTGGACATCTTTCCCAACCTTACTTGATCATTTAGTATTAAAAATTCATCACTGCATTTGTTTTCCTAATATTTTATTTAAAATATTGGAGTCTGTGGTTTAGACCAGAGGATTTGAAAACAGACTGTTTGGGTTCCCTTCTGGGTTTTCAGAGCATTCTATCTGTCTGTGTAAGCTTGGGGTATGTTTGTCACCATTTCTCTGCCAAAGTTCCCTCATTTGTAACACAGGGACAATCATGGTCTTTACCTGGGATTTGTTATGAGGAGAATTTGTACATGTAAATCACCTTTAAAGGCCCATAATTACCTTAAGTTATTATTTTAATATTATTTTTATTACTTCCTATGTTTTCATTGTCCATTTTTAGTTTTGAAGTTATCTACCTTATAAAAAGATGTTAAGGAGTGTTTCATCATTTTTGAAATGACTAAGACATTTATATAATCTGTGAATTACCTAGTCTTTAAAGGAGAGTCATTTCTAAAATCAATTAAACTTGTATTTCTTTTAATTATATTTATAAGAGAGTCCACTTTGTACGAATTTTCAAGGTTACTGAGATAAAATTGTTCATAATGTTCTTTTAACGTTTCTTCCCTATATGTACTTATGTTTCTTTTTATCTTTTAACATACTCATTTGTGCTTTAATATTTATTTATAATATTGCATTTCATTAGTCTTGACAGATCATTCATTTTATTGATCATTCAGAAAGGTAGCCTTTAGGTTCATTGATTTTATTTGATTTTTCTATTTTATTAATTTCTCCTATAATTTTTTTAAAAATTTATTTATCTTTAGAGGGGAAGGGAAGGAGAGAGGGAGAGAAATATCAATGTATGGTTGCCTCTCATGCATCCCCTGCTGGGAACTGGCCTGCAAGCCAGGCATGTGCCCTGACTGGGAATCAAACCGCGATCCTTTGGTTCACAGGCCCATGCTCAATCCACTGAGCTACACCAGCCAGGGCTCTCCTATGATCTTTATATTATTTCCACCTTTCTATTTTCCTTAGTTTTAATATACTCTTTTGTAATTTGTTACATTAAAAATTTGGCCCATTAATATCCCATCTTCCTTTCTTTCTAATATTTGTGTTCAAAGTGCTCCATTTCTCTCTAGCACTACTCTAACTACTTTTCACGTATTTTGTTTGTGCTATCTTCAATATCATTTAAGTACAACTATTTCACAATTTAGATTTTATTTCTTTTTTGACTTTTATTTAGACCTTTCAGAAATTAAGATATGTGTACATTCTTTCAGTTGCTATTTTATTATTTATTTCTCATTTAATTATATTGTTATCTGAGAAAGTAAATTTATGGTACTGGTTATTTTGGTGTTTGTTGTAAATTTTCTTTTGTAAATATCCTATGTGTTTTTGAAAATGATTTCTATTCTTCATATTCCATCTTATCAGTTTTCTCTTCAGCTGCATCTGATCTTTTCAATCTGATTTCTTCATTTTTTTAAACCTCTAATAAACTGTTTTTTTTTACTTCCAGAAATTCTAGTTGGCTCTCTTTCAAGGTCATCTGTTTCTTTTATAGGACTCTGTTATTTTTAAATTACATCTAATGCCTTTATTAACTTTTGGTATTTAAGTGTTTCCACATTATTCTATTACTTCAAGTTCTTGGGTTGTTAAGTTTTATTTTATTTTGAGGGGCCACCTGGACCTTTGTATCTCATGGATTTTTCTCTTATTGTTTTGTTCTTTCTGAAATTGAGTTCGTCTTTGGAAAAGATTATGTACTCTGTGGAAATTCTGCATATCTTGCCGCTACCATGATTTTAAGATTGTTTATCATGAGGACCCTCAGCAGAAGCTCAGTGGTTATAATGATCATGAACCAGATTTTATGGTAATCTCTGGGTTTACTGTTAATGTACCAGTTATCTGACTTACAACTGAACAACATAGTCACTCCTGGTGTGGGCCTGGATGTTTTCTTTTTCACCAAAAATGTTTCATTTTCTTAATCTAAAGTTCTAGAATTTAGTTCTGGGCTAAAGTACAAAGCTTTTATAGTCTATGAGGACAAGCTGGGATTTGAATGGCAGCTGCTTCCCACTGTATTGTCTTTGGATGGGCATTCCAGTCTTAGCATCAGGCTCTTAGGATCTAGGCCTCCTCTTGGGATCTAGGATCTTAGGATCAGACTTCCAAAACCTGCCCATCAAAATTTTAGAAATATTACCAGTCAGTTGTTATACAGACATTATTTTAAATTAAATTGCATATATTTAAATAAATTATTTTTATAAAAGAGAAGTAAGACTCATTGGTTCCTATTTTACTGGATTTTATGTACTATTATCTGTGATCTTGAAATTATTATACCTATTGTTTCTACATAGTGCAGATATTATATAATGTGTTGGGAACCACCTTGCCTGGTTGCAGAAGCTGTAACCCCCCATGGCTAAGGCTGAGTGAGCAACCTTAGGACCACAAGCCACTAAGGAGACAAAGCTTATCTCCCTGGCAAGAGCACCGCTTCTGCTCCTTTTTCCATAACTGGCCCCCAGTGCTTGATCAGTTAGCCAATGATGGGTAAAATTCTCCAAGGAGGGAATGACCTAAGACAGGCACGATCACGAGGAGGCCCCAGGGAAAGACTTGGGGGGCTATAGCAAAAGGGGGTGATGGACCCTTGCCCCTCGGCTTTGACATAGCCTGAGTCCTCATTCTGTCTGCAAGAAGTCTCCTAATCTCTTGGCTGCCTTACTTCCCCTGCCTGACTTAAGCCTGAAACAGTGCTGGAGGTGGGTGCCGCCCTGTGCTGGAAAGGGCGGGTTCCCTAGGGCAATCAGACCTAAGAAAGAATATGTAAAATCCTGTGAAACCTGCTTGGTTTAGAATGTTCTCAATTAAATGATAAGGGTCCAAGCAAGAAGTGAGTTTGTTCCCCAAAGTTTTATGGCTCTTTAGCTATCTGACCCTGACTCAAAATAGGACTTCAGAGTTCTTTGTATGTTTGATTCTCACTGCTTAATGAGGTTTACCTGTATTCTTGTGCAAAACGAACCCAATAAAATCTTGTCAAGGTAAGGGATGGCGCGCTCTCCCCTTG